CTGCATGTTCTCACTCATAGGTGGGAACTGAACAATGAGATCACTTGGACAATGGGGGAGGAACATCAAACACTGGGGCCTATCGGGAGGTGGGGGGAGAGGGGAGGGATGGCATTAAGAAAAATACCTATTGTAAATGATGAGTTAATGGGTGCAGCACACCAACATGGCACATGTATACATGTGTAACAAATCTGCACGTTGTACACATGTACCCTAAAACTTAAAGTATAATTTAAAAAAATGAACTTCTTAATGCCAAATCGAATGCCAAATACCAGAAGCAAATCTCAAATATCAAAATGATACTGTTTTAGTAACTGAAAAGTTACCAACTCTAGCCAACATGCCCTGAGTTGGAAAGGGAATTTCACCACTGCACAGTTAGGGCAGATTTTGGTGGGAGGAAAAGACAATTTCATGTTTTTTGTCATGAGATTTCACTCAGAGTCTGGGAAACTATTCGTTCTCTTTTGAGATGATTTATCCTATCTATTATCGGTTGAGCAGGCAGGGGGCATTCTTACTAACTCATTTCTAAATACTAAGGGCAATGATAGCTTCACCATAGCCCCCAGATACAGACAATTAATTCTGCTGATGACAGAGTAACTAGAAAAGACACCATCAAGTGAATGACGCTTGAGCTGAGTGTTGGTTAGTTGACTGGCTGAGACAGATCTCAAGATCTGAGCTTGGAAACAGTTTAAGAGGTTTGGCCCTGTACTAGGTCATCCTAGACCCAGATAGTATCAAGAAGGCCAAGATAATTACTAGACTATCCCAGGTTTCCCAGGCCCTCCTATGGCTTCCTCAGTCGAATTACAAGACCTCTAAGGTCATAGACTACTGAGTTCTATGATGTCATAAGTAACTGATTGCCGTAGTCACTTCATATATTCATTTAAGCCTCTCTCAATTGTCAACCTAAATAACAGAGACAGGCTCTCTAAAAGACGTTTATTTGGGAATGGAACATTGCAGATCGGAATATGCATGTCATAGTAAACTATGTGTATAGTCAGGGAGGTAAAGGAAGATAAAGATTTTTAAAAGAAAATAAGCGGAAGATTACATACTGGTTTTTAAAATGATTATCCTTAGCCACAAAGATCAATAACAAGAGTGATGCCAGTCTGAGGTTAGCCAGGCAGTTGCTGAGCAGCTGTCCTTGTAGAAGTATCTTTTCTGTAAGGTTGTGATGGCCCTCGTGTAAGGTTGTGGTTGTTATGGAGTCTTTTTCATTATCAAGCACACAAATGTGAAGACTCTTCTTTCATGGCCTTCTCCAGCTCTGTTTGTCAGAGTTTTCTTTCATGACTCTATTTTGATTCTGATCAAAATGATATAGTTACACAAAATCATACTCCTAACACAACTTACCTTTGGCCATCCTGCTAAAACGAACTTTCTTCCCGATTCCCACACAAGTAATTGTACTTTTTGGCACAGTTGGCACTTAGAGTTTTGGTTGTCTTTTCCTCTTTTCTTACTCTATTTTTTTTTTATATTGCCTTTTAGACTGCAGTCTTAGATCAAACTCAAAAAAAAAAAAAAAAGAGGAGAAAAAGTTGCCACAAGGGTAAAGCTGCCTTCCCAAAAGGCAGAAGCTGGCAATAGAAGGAGCATGTCCAGTAACCTTCTTTGGTGAGATCACAAGGAAAGGGAACAAAAATTCAGACAAAGTCCTTGGTAGAAGTTTATTCTAGGCCTTACTTCCACATGAACTTAAAGACAAATGATTTCATTTCCAGTACATATTACTGTCTTGAATAGGAGAGTAAGTTAAAAAGGAAGAGTTAAAAAAAAAAAAAAAAAAAAAGTGGATGCTTAAGCAAACCATTTCAATTTTACTTGGGCAAGTAAAAAATCCCTGTGAAGTCTCTTACCTTAAAATGATACTGATTCCAGCTAAGCTTCGGCTAAATAGTACTGCCTAGTATACAGCTGATCCCTGAAAAACACGAGTTTGAACTATGTGAGTCCAAGTATACAGGGATTTTCTTCCACCTCTGCCACCCTTGAGACAGCAACTCCATTACACTCTAACCTGGGTGACAGAGCTGTCTTTAAAAAGAAAAAAAATGTTAATAACCCCTCCTCTTCCTCTTCCTCAGCCTACTCAATGTGAAGACAAGGATGAAGACCATTATCATGACTTACATTTAATGAATAGTAAATATACTCTCTTCCTTATAACTTTCTTAATAACATTTCATCTTACTTTATTGTAAGAATACAATACATAATACATATAACATACAAAATATGTGCTAATCGACTGTTTATGTCATCAGTAAGAGTTCCAGTCAACAGTAGGCTCTCAGTAGTTAAGTTTCTGGGGAGTCAAAAGTTATACGCAGATTTTCAGCTATGTAGAGGATGATACCCCTAACCCCCAAGTTGTTCAAGGCTCAACTGCAGTTCATAACACAGACTTCTCAGTCTATGTACTTGCTGCTTACCCTGCCTGGCAGAGTCTCCCCATAAGACATCCTGTGGTTCATCCCTCTGCTCAAATACTCCCTGGCCAGAGAGGCCTTCCCTGGCCATTCCATCTAAAAGAGCAACCCTAGCAAGGCCCCCCACCCCCAGCACCCCCTATTCTCTTTTTTCCCCCTACTTGATTTCTCTTCATAGCTGTTATCGTCTGAGTGATATCATTTTTATTATCATCATTGGTTTATTTGTTTACTCCCACCAGAATGTAACCTCCACAATAAATGTCTGGTTTTTTTCCTTGCAGTAGTGAACTGTCCCTAGTAGGCAGCAACCATCCTGTAAATTTGTTACACCAAGGCATGAGGATCCCTTGGGACCAGTAGTTTGAGCCTGCAGTGAGCTATGATTGTGCCACTACACTCCAACCTGGGTGACAGAGCTGTCTTTAAAAAGAAAAAAAATTGTTAATAAAATAATGAATGAATATCATTTTCAAAGTTTTGCCAAATTCCTAAGATTTTGTCCAGGCATGGTGACTCATGTCTGTAATCCCAGTACTTTGGGAGGCTGAGGTAGGCAGATCACTTGACACCAGGAATTCGAGACCAGCCTGGCCAACATGGTGAAACCACATCTCTACTAAAAAATGCAAAAATTAGTGGTGGTGTGTGCCTGTAGTCCCAGCTAGTCCGGAGGCATGAGAATCACCTGAACCCCAAAGGCGGAGGTTGCAATGAGCTGAGATCGCACCACAGCACTCCAGCCTGGGCAACAGAAAAAGTGAGATTCTGTCTCAAAAAACAAACAAACAAACAAAAAAAAAAACAAAAAAAAACCTAAAGTTTTAAAATTATGCACTAAGACCATTTTTCTTCCCATGGATTACTTGATATGTGATAATATAACTATTTGGACTAAAAATCATGAAACTTAAGTCTCTCAGCTCTGCCATTAATTTCTTGTATAACCTGGTTAGATCACTTCTCAGTTTTACCTTGTGCAGCTGACATCCTATGGCTTACAGCCATGACTAAAACCCAACAGAAAAACAGATTACATATATAAAGATTTCTCTGTGCATGTCACTTTTAGTGACTTATGTATGGCTAAAACAAGGTTCAACTATAAGAGCGACTTTTCAAGAGGTTGATCTAAGATATATTCTATTAATATTCTCTGTCCAAGGTCTAATCTGGAAGGTTCAGACTTTTAAACTGCTGACCTCAAAACACCTATTTTCAGAAACTTACAAAATACAAAGAAATTATATTAACCCATTTCCATGCTTAAGCCATAGTGCTTTGCCCTTTATTCTACTTTCAAATTTGCTGCCATTCATTATCTCCATTTCTACATTATCACGAATCTCATGGCATATAATGCTTTGTGAAAAGTGTTTATTTACATTCTTATATCACCAAAATCTAGACTTTTTTTCAGCTGTACTTGGAAAACTGTTCCAAATAGATTACATTACCCAGCAGAGCTAAAAATGAGGGAAAAAATCAATATGGGATGTTCATGAATAACGTCTGTTAATTAAATGAGACTACATATAGTGATTTGCAGTGATCAGGAAAACAGTGTTAAACATGCTAGCTGACGACTGCTATAAAGAATCTCTGAGCTGATAATTTTTGAGAATTCACCCTAGTTCATCTATGACTCTCCATTTAGTATTTAAGGAGAAAAGCCTCATTTTCCGAATTGAATAAAGAGAATTAATCACACAACTGTGTAGAACGGAACTCAGTCCGTATAAAAATCAAGACGAACGTACTTTTTAATATTCTAACATCTCCAAGAAGTAGTTTCAAGTACTGTACCCAAGAAGTTCAGGTAATTTGTCCATTGTCACACTGTTAAAAGTCAGGTGGGCTCCAAAGCGCAGTCCTAACCAGCATGCCTCCTCTAAGGCAATAGTCGAAGTGCAGACTTCGACTAGGAATTATTAGCTGTCTGGCCTTCCACGCTCCTAAATTCTTCCAACAGACCCCAACGCCTCCCAGACACCCTCTCTGACCGCCCTGCTGCCCACCCCAAGTTCCCAGCATGCTCTGGGCTCCGACTTCCTGGGGCCAAAACTTGCGCAGGCTCCTTTCCTCCGCACTGGTTGTAGGTGATCGCCGAGGGCTGCTCAAAGTCTCGCGAGGGCGGACCTGTTGCCTGGTGACGAGAGTTGGGGGCGTGGCTGGGGCTGCGGATCTCCAGTAGTGGCATTCCTTCTAGCGGTGGACCCTGGGTTCTCCGCTAGATCCCAAGATATTGTCCCCGCACGGAAGCGACGACTGGCCTGACCAGAGGACTCGGCCAGGATCTAGGTGCCGGCGCCAACGGGACGGTGAGGTAGGCAGAAGGAAGGCGGGGCGCCCCCTGCGGGAAGCGAGCGCGCCCCGGAAAATGAGCGCCTCACCACACCCTGGTGGCCAGGAGTGAGTGAGGGAAGGAACTCGGCCGCCTACAGTTGTGGCCTCATCCTGGCTCCCGCCAAAAACGCCTTGGTACTGTCGGGACGCGGCTGAGCGTGGACGCGCCCGCACCTGCCCCTCCTCCGCAGTGGTGGAGCGCCGGTGAATAAGGGACTTCCCCTGAGGCCAGAGCTGTATCCGCAGCAGGTCAGCACTTCGTGTGCCCCGTGTGTACCTGTAAGGAGTGGAATTTACGCCAGTCGGGTTTTCCAAATGTGGAGTTGTGATGCCCAGGCAAAAACTTCAGTTTCTTAGGACTGAAGGTGTCATCTATGAGACAGTCGGCTCCGTGGCATTGGCAGTGATTTGCCATAGAGCTTGAACTTAACTTATATGTAGTCCACGCTGCAAAACACGCTTTCTGTAGAGAGGGGCGTAAACCAATAGATTTGCAATTGTCGAGTCCTTTGGTCTCTCAAGAACGATGGGAACTTGACAAGAAATTTCGATTATTCCCTGGTCTTAATATTAACCACATGGGAAGATGCATAGAATGGTAGTGGTCATTACGAATACAACCTTCTAGTAGCTATTTAGATTTCTAAGAATAAGAATAATATAAATGAATATTAGAACAGAATCTACAGAATGATAATCAAAATGTAAAGTCTTGTCACTTGAACTTTTGGTCAAGTGAAAATCAAGGAGAAAACTTAAAATTATATTGCTACATTTCACAAAGTGACTGTAATTTTTAAAATTCATTATCTTTTAATGCCTCAGGATCATTCTGAACTTGCTGTGTAGTATTCAATTGTAAATATAATAAAATGTGAATGATTTGGCTGTATACTCTGGAAATTCCTTTTAATTAAATGATTTACTTGATTTGTCTTTTATTGTGGTGGTTGCCTCTTATAGTCGTGGAAAATTCCTTTAAATCTCTGAAATTGAAGGTGTTATTAGTTGTACTGTAGTTTTTAGAGAAGACTGTTGTGACTGTTAAATACAATTGAATATATTTTTGAGTACTCATTTAATGTAGTAAACACAGCTTGAAAAGAAAAGCTGTCAAATAATTTCCTTAGAAATTGTTTTACAGCCTACCTGTATATTACAAGAAATCTCAAGTCAAACACTGGAAGAGATGTCAGAAGATTCAGAAAAGGAAGACTATTCAGACAGAACAATCAGTGATGAAGATGAATCGGTATGTTTTTCTCAACTTTATTTTACTTGGAGATAAAATTTGTATTATATAAATCCCCAATTAAAGTATTATAAAGTCAATTGGATATAAAAATCAATTGGATGTTTAAATGATTGTCATTGAAGTTGGGAAATAATTTGGCTGAAAAAGCTGAGCTATCACTGGGAACACTATGCCCTGTCTAGAAGGAGAAACTGTGTTTGTATTTTTTTGAGAAAATATTTTAGCTAAGATTCTTCTAGGTTTTATTAAAATTTGTGTATGAAATTTTTAGTAGGGTTTTTAGGATTAGTGTCCACTTATTTTCTTATATGTGCTGATTGGATTGTGTTACATCGTAGTATGAATCATAGTAGAACCACCGTGTTCTAACCTTGTTGTGTATCACCATAACAGTTTATTGTGGCTCTGATGTCATAGAGGAAGGGACATGGAAGAAGAAAAAGGGGGGAAAATGTAGTATTTAAAATTCTTTAGTCTGTTTCTACTACATATTCTGAGATATTTCCTTCAAATTTTATTAAAGTGTAAATTATGTATGTAAACTAATGTCCCGAAATAAGCTCTTAAAGCTTACTTTAACTACTTAAAGGAATTACGGCTTTCTGTGTTTTTCTTCTTGTTATTTTTTTTTTTCGTGAGCCAGAGTTTCGCTCTTGTTGCTCAAGCTGGAGTGCAATGGTGCGATCTCGGCTCACTGCAACCTCTGCCTCCTGGGTTCAAGGGATTCTCCTGCCTCAGCCTCCCGAGTAGCTAGGATTACAGGCGTGCGCCACCACACCCGGCTAATTTTTTGTGTTTTTAGTAGAAACAGGGTTTCACCATGTTAGCCAGGCTGGTCTCAAACTTCTGACCTCGGGTGATCCATCTGCCTTGGCCTCCCAAAGTGCTAGGATTACAGGCATGAGCCGCCACGCCCAGCCAATTTTGTTTTTAATTTAAATTGTTTTCCCAGGTTTACCAAGAATCTTTAAACTTCATTCCTTCCATAAAGTCATTATTATGACCTCACCCAGTGGAAGAGGAGGAATGAAGGATGCAAACTTTAAGGTTTCAGAATATTTGAAGTGTTGGGTGCATTGAGACCAGTAGCCGATAATAATCCTTTAATTTTCTTGTTTATTAAAGGTTAAAGACATATACTCAATCCCAACTACTAAAATAGATGTAAAAAAATCTGGATTTGAAAACTGTTGGTTTTTTAAAGAGAAATATTTTTAAATTCTTATTTTAGGATGAGGATATGTTCATGAAATTTGTAAGTGAAGATTTTCATCGGTGTGCACTTTTAACAGGTTTGAACCTATTCATATAGTTTTTGTTTAGTATAAAACCTTGAATGGATAAAAAAGATGAGGAAACTAAAAAGTCAGATTGAATAATATAGGGAATGATTATTCCAGTAGATTGTGAAAGAGAAATGTATCCACTTGCAGAATTCAAACTTTTCAGGTTTGTTTTACGTAAACCTATTTTATATTAGAATATAATAAATGAAAGTGGTGATTATCTTATATTTAACATAAGGATTTACCTTGTCATTTCTTTAATTGTATTGAGTATATGACTCCAGTTATAAAGGACAGATTATGTTAGAAGTACATCTTCATTTAAACGAAGTATATTGTCTAAAGAGTCTCCTTAATAAAGTCATTCATTTGCAACTGAACATGTGTGTGGGCATCTTGATGTATACTTAATTTTTAAAGATTTATACTTAGAGTTGTACTTTCAAATGCTAAAATATCTCTACTCAGTATTTACATATGTATCACAAGTACTCTGAAATTGAAGTTAAGGCCTTTATCTTTTTTTTCTTTTGTCTTTTACCACCATCCTAAAATAAATCTTCCTGTTTGAAATAACCACCATTCTCAGTTTGGTGTGTATCATTCTAGAACTTCTTCTTTGCATTACACATATCTATACCCATAGGCATAGAAATTTTATAGTATTGTTTTGTGGACTTTTCCCTGCTACCCTTTTCTGTTTTTTAAATTTTGCCAACCTATTAGGAGACATGGGATAACTCACTCCTTTAACTAGCATTTCTGGGATTGCTAGAGAAATAGAGAATTAATTCTACAGGCTTATTATCTACTCATATTCTTAGTTGATATGAATTGCCCATTTATAGTAATCCCTTTATGTTGCTTCCTTTGTTTAGAACATTACCAAAAGCAAGATGTAAAACATTTAATCACCCCTAAGTGTTCCTGTGTCTCTGCAGTAGATCCTCTCCTTCCAGGCTTCACTCCTGGCTCCAGACAACCAGTGATTTGCATCCCCTCCCCCCCACCCCCCGCCGCCCATATTTGGCTTCTCTAGAATTTCACAAAACAGAATCATACATTTTGTGTTTTCTGTCTTCTTTCATTTAGCATAATACTCTTGAGATTTATCCATGTTGTTGCATATATCAGTAGTTCCTTTTTATTGTTGAGAGGTATTCCATTATGTGAATAGACCACAATTTCTCCATTTAGCCATCCATTCATGCACAAATTGTTTCCAGTTTGGGGCTGTAATGAATAAAGCTCCTGTGAATATTTTTGTACAAGTCCTTGTGTGAACATGTTTTTATTTCTCATAGGTAAATCCCTGGGAATAGTATTGCTGGGTTATATGCTAAATATATACTATATGAGAAACTGTGAATCTGTTTTCAAAAGTGGCTATATCCCTTTGCATTCCCAGCAATGTGTTATTTCTTCACCAAGAATTCTTATGTTTTAATTCAGTACAAGTGTGTGTTTCCCTTACCTCGTGGAGCAAAATTGTAATGACTCCTTTAAACTTCTTGTCTGATTGTTTTAACATCTGGGTTATCTTGTTGTTAACATTTGTTGATTGCCTTTTGCCCTGAGAACTGGTCCTGTTCCTGGTTTTCCGTTGTTCATGCTATGTTGTGTAGATTCTGGGTCAATGTATTTCTTCTAGCAGGCAATCAATCCAGTTAGGTTTAAACAGTAAGTTCTGGCACCCCTTCTGTGGATAATAATTCAGATCTGATTTCTCATCTCTAAGCCTTTGCTATGCTGATTTTTTCCCATGCCAGTGTAGTTCAGGAGTTTTGAGACTTTTATAGATGGTTCAAAGCCCTGTTTAGTTCTCTTAAGTTTTCCTTGTCTTGGTTTGGGACTATCTTGCACATGTGTAATTCAGGGGTTGAGCTGAGACGTTTGTGTGTGGGTTGGGAGGGTGGTTAAAGTTTCAGTTAAGTTTTCATAGTCTCTGAGAGTGTGTCTGCTTTCATAGCCCAGGGATTAGCCCAATTCTGTGGGCTCATACACAGGATTAGGAGATACCTTTCTCTGGTTCCTTTCTTCCCTTCAGGTTCCTTCCACACTATAAGGACCCCTTTTCCTGGTTCTTCTGTTAAGATTAAGACTGGTTTTCTGATTTGGAGAAGGAATTTTTTTTTATTTTATTGTGTGTGTACATATGTCATTTCTTAGTCATTCAGAATTTCTCAACCTCTACACTACTGACAACCCCACCACATTCTCCCATGACATCCTGTATATGCCTGCGTGATTGCCCTTGCCATATCACATCACCTAACCCTTCCTTCCCTCTCTCTGTACTGAGAACGCCTTGATCTCAGAGACTGTCTTATCAATGTTTGTATCTCTTCCCAGCACTGGTTCTGGCACATAGTAGGTAATCACTAAATAGGATATTATTGTTAGGGTGGTGTGACTAAATTATTCGGCTCAAGAGAAAAAGAAAAGACTACTCTCAAGCATTTTGGAATCAAACATTTATAATAAAAATAACCCCAAACTTTAGTAAATGGAAAAAAAGGACTGAGTTTCTATTTGAGATTTAGCCATTTGCACCACTGCACCGCACTGCTCTGTTCAGCACGCTAGAGCAAACATTCATTCAGCACACTAGAGCAAACAAGGGTCTGGATTCACCTTCCTGTGGGAGTGCTTCTCTAAGTTTTAACTCTACAGTCTGCTCTTGTTTACTTTTCAAATTCTTCTGATAGTTATGTTTTTGTATTTTATCTAGAATTTAGTTGTAATTAGTGAGAGAGAAGGCCTGTATAAAGACTTATGTTGCCACAGCAGGACTAGAACTCTTGTTCATTAACTTTTGATTGAATGACAAACTTGCAAATTTTACATGTGGTTGCTGGATTTTGTTGTATTCAGTTAAAGAATGTTGAACTTGGTCCTGATAAGCAGTTGTTTTGCTTGTGGATCAGTTTCATTACTTTGAGGCTTGCCTTTCAGCTTTGTTGGAGTGTGTCCAGTCAGAACAGTCTTTACTCCAGGGCTGAGTTCATTATTTAGGCGTCAGCTCACATGTTACGTCTTCAGAGAAATCTTGCCTGACCACCCTATCTAAAATAGCATTCTCACTCCCACTTTCCTGTTTCTAATCTTCATTTATATTTCTGTGTTTTATTTTTGTAGCATTTGTCATCACTGAAATCATCTTGTTTTCCTACTTATATATGCCCTACTACAGTTTAAGCTCATGATGGCAGGGACACTGTTTTTTTCACTCTGTATGGCAATTGTCTGTTTATAGTTTTTAGCACATAGTAGATGCATTTTAAGTATCTGTTGGATGAATGAGTCTATAGAACAATCCTGATAAGTAGCTAGGGCAGGTGATATTATTAGTTCTTGACCTGTAGTAAGATTTATGTCCAAAGAGGCTGCCTTGCCCAAACAAAGTCATACAAAAAAAAGTGATAAAAGGGAAGGAATCCAGTTATCTGAGCTCTAGTCCAGTTGCTGTATCAGCTGTTGTACAAAAATAACCAAGAACTATGTCTCGGCAAAAAGCCACATTTCAGAGGTGAAAGAGCAGGAGGAGTCAGTGAGACAAATGGAAAACCAAATATGTGGAAGGGAGGGGGAAATCCAGGAAATGTGTCATAAGAGAAGTACGCTTAAGGAGGGGTGATCATCAATGTCAAACTGATGCCGTACAGTATCACACCAATATACCAGACCACTGCACGGCCTTCTTGGTGTGGCCCCATACTAGTCTATATGAATTGTGTTCCTGGCATTGTATCACACAGTAGCTCTAGAAGGAAAACTGAGAAAAAGTTGTGACTGAGTTCACCAGCAAACCTTGAGAATACAGTTCCAGTAAGTAGTGAGGAATTATAGTTCATCACTGTATTTAACTCATTAGACAAATAGTGTGACTACATTTAGATGATTTGCTAGAAGAGCTACAAGAAACAAATGTTTTTAAAGTAGTAGTGAGCTTTTAGAATAAATTAATAGTATAAAGGTCAACTATTTTTTGGCTATTGTGAAGCTCAATCATCACAAAATTTCATTAGTACTTTTATAAAAAGTGCCATGAATTATAAAACATTTGTAATGATGCCCACACATTGAATAGTGTTGAAAGGAAAAAAGGAACTATATAAAAATTACAGGAGTTGGTATTTTTCTTCTTCCCACTGATGATTGTGTTTGAATCTTTTTCTCAGCTGACTCTTTTGGTGATCCCTTCTTCCCCCGGACTACACAGATACTATTAGAATATCAGCTAGGGAGATGGGTGCCACGTCTTCGTGAACCACGCGATTTATATGGTGTCTCTTCTTCTGGTCCACTGAGCCCAACACGGTGGCCATACCATTGTGAAGTCATCGATGAAAAAGTCCAGCATATTGGTATGTTTTTAGCAGTTTGAGCGATTCAGACATTAGCAAACTTACTTTGCCAACCTTGATTTTAATGAGACTCACAATGTTAGAAAACAGTACATTCCAACAGAAATATAACGTGAGCCACATATGTAATTTTAAATTTGCTTGTAGCCACATTTAAAATGGTAAAAAGAAAATGAAATTAACTTTAAAAATGTATTTTATTTAACCCAAAAATATCCAAAATATTTCACATTCTTTTTGTACAAAATCTTCAGAATCTGGTGTGCATTTTTCTTTACAGACATTTGAATTGAGATCAGCCACATTTCAAGTGTTCAGTAGCCACATGGGCTTAAATGGAGGAGCTTACAGCATTTGCTTGGCTCCTGAAGCTTTAGCAATTCTAAACAATTGCAAAGGGCATGACGGTGTCCCAGGCACAAACTCATACACAGAGTGAAGGCATAGATGGAGGCTATGCCGGAATGGCTGTGAGCTGTAGTCCTGCTCTTTGTGGCTCCCTGTCTCTTTCTCATTTCCTCTTTGTATGTTTGTCGTCTTCTTAGTGTATCTTTATCTTCTTTTACCTCTTTCTGCCTTTTTTCTTTTTTCCATTTCTTTTCTTGTTTCATTTTCTCTTTCTGCTTCTTTGTCTTTTACCCACTTTCTGCTTTTTCCTTTAATGGATGTTTATGAAACTGAAGAGTGTATATTTTAGTATATATAGATTTTTAATGTTTCTGTATGTGTCCATTCCCAAATTCAGTTTTTGCTTTCCTAGGTAAAGCTTATAGCCTCATCTCTCCAATCTATGCACAGGTATGACAGAAACATCCCATTGTTCACCATCTTTTCACTGCCACAACTCTCCACCTTTTGTTGATTGAGGCATTTATTGCCAGGTAGAGATCTTAAAGACATTCATTGGTGAATAAAAAAAAATTACACATACACACTTTTTATAACTATACTTATTACAGTGCCTACTAGGAGTTCTTAAAAACTAAATTTTCTTCATATATCATCTGGCATATAGATAGATAGATATGGGGAGAAAGGAGAGGGGTGGAGAGAGAGAAAGAACACTGGTTTTTGTTCATGGAGGACAAAGTTAATTTTCTTCAAGAATTCCAAAGTTATAGGGTTAAAAACATATTAAAGAATTCATGCTTAATAGTACTAAACAGAATCACTTATTCGTACCGATCTCTTCAAAGCTGGATATATATTTATCTTCTTTAGTATAGGACATCTCTCTCCCTTTTTCTCCTTTCAGTCCTTCTACCATCATCCCCACCTCTCCTCTGTTACCACCCCCTCCAACCTCATTTTTCCTACAGCACCAGGGCAGGAAATAAAAAAGTCAAGCAGAGAAAACACTGCCACGCTACTGAATTTGAACCTTCCACCAAGCCTTTCTTTTTGTACTTTGGTTCTTTTTCCCAGCCTCCTCATGACATATCTGTGGCAGAGAGAATGGATAAGGAGCAATAAAGGAAAATCCCTATGCTCCTACTGTGACTTCTGCCTGATTTCTCTCCGGTAGCAGTGATGAGAGAATGAGAGCAGAAGAGACCCAAAAGGAAGAGGAAAGCAAGATCCCATTGGGCCACTGCTTCCCAGTGTCACTTCCAGCCCCATGTGCTCATTCCACTCAACTCTGTTCCACCTCATCTAACTAGAAAACCCTTCTGTTGCATCCTTGCCACACCTTTCTGTTCCTTAAATTTCCTAGCCCTCACTTTCAGCCGTCATGTTTGCCCTCAGTCGCAGGAGTCACCATCAGCAGCTCAGAGTTGGGAGAGGTTCTGTTTTCTTTGGTTGCTTGGTAATCCCCCACTGTTACTGCTCAGGTTCTTTCAGATGAGGGCAGCTGTGTTTCTGGCCTCTTCTATTGAAATTTTAAATATAGTTTCTAACCAAAATATTGTTATAAGAGTAGCTAGAGTTTGTGGTGCCATCTTTCAGATATCTTATATAATAAATAGGCTTTGGGCTCTGTGAACCCAGCCTCCACCCTGGTGAAGGTGCAGTCACCACACAGTACAGGTGCAGATGCAGCCTCTCTCAGCATACATTTCCCAAGATCCCCAGAGTCATGTCACACAGCTACTAGTGACACTGTCTGTGCAAGGTAGAGTCATGCTGGATAAAAGTTTTATTTTGGGCTATGCCACTGCTCTTTTATTTTCAGTCTGTGTCCCTGAAATTTTTGCAAGCTCCGCTGGTCCTCAAGCCAACTGGAACACCCAATACAATACATCCTTGTGTAGGAAGACTCATAATCTTCACCCACATTTGTCCTTGATGGCTTTTTCCACTTTGCTTGCTAGCATTTCAGAAAGTTTACTTCCCACAGTCTTACATATTGCCCTAGACCCTGCTTTTGTCACTTGACTATTGCAAAGATTTTACAAATTTGGATATTTGAAAGGACTTGCAAGACTTCACAGAGCATTCTTCTGTGTGGCTTTTATTTAAAGGCAAAGGATAGGTGCAGCAAGAGAAAGATACTATGGCAAGCATTGGGGCTCAGGTGCAAGCTTTCCAGGGGCCTTATTCACACAGACTGCCTGCCTTCAGATTGAAACACCAAGATCTATGTGATGCATCTTAGCTTCAGAAAACCTCAAGGCAAAAGTTCCCATCTGGGTTTTTAGGCCCTTGTAGTCATGACATCAACCCAGGCTGTCTTCCTGATTCTGCCAAATGAAAACCATCAGTAAACAAACTGGCCATGCGGGGTTTTTGGGGGCAGTTTCAGACAGTAAACAGCATATCATTAATCTTACTGTTCTTATCTTGGCCAGGAGTCAAAGCTGGACAGCCAGAATTCCCCAGAGGTAAAAATAGAGCTTTTCCAGTCCAGCTATAAATTAACTCTGTCTTACACAGCCATATATCTTGAAAGTATTTCCATATCAGTTTATATATATTAATCTCCTTTTTTATAAACTGGTACATCAGATTTCATTAAATGGATGAATCAGAATTTCTTTAACTGGTACCTTATTAATGAATTTAAGGGGTTTCCAGTCATTGGCTCTGACAAACAGAACTGCATAAATATCCTTTTATGTGTGGCCTAATGCATATATACATACATATTTTAGGGATATTTTGCTAGAATTTCTGGTATAAGGATACTGTCAAATTTTCCTCCAAAAAGAGTTGCATCAATTTATAGTCATAAAAGCAAATAGTTTATGAGTATGGTCAGGGGTCCTCAAGACGACTCATATTCAACGATTTGCTTCAAGGACTCACAGAACTCTAGAGAAGCCATTATACTCATGGTTATGGTTTATTACACTGAAAAGATACAGATTAAAATCAGCAAAGGTAATAATGGCATATAGCAGCGGTCCCCAACCTTTTTGGCACCAGGGACCAGTTTCGGGGAAGACAATTTTTTCACAGATGTTGGGGGATGGTTTTGGAATGAAATTGTTCCACCTCAGAGTATCAGGCATTAGATTCTCATGAGGAGCACACAACCTAGATCCCTTGCATGCACAGTTCAAGGGATCTTGTTCAAGGGATCTTGAACTGTTGCTGCTGAACTGATAGGACCTGTGCTGGTCCATGGCCTCAGGGTTGGGGACCCTTGCTATGCGGCAGAGTCCAGGTGAGACCAAGCACAAGCTTCCAGTTGTTCTCTCCCTGTGGAGTCTTAGGAACAGCACTTAATTCTCCCAGCCATAATGTGAGATAATATGAAGTGCTGCTAATCAGGGATGCTCATCTAGCTTTGATGTCACTGGTTTCTATTTGCAGGTTGGTTATATTTACATTCAGTGCCCACATGGCTGACCTTAGTTACTTAGTCTCTGGCCTTTCCAGGGGTCAAAATTGATACTGTGTGTCCAAGCCCTCTACCACCACCACCACAATCAATCAGTTGTTAGCATAAACTATCTGACATAGCCCAAGGTCCCAGGTAGACAAAGATACTCTTAAGAGGCAAGGTATTCCAAGGCATCAGAGGTTATCTCCCAAGAGTTTAGCAAGGTCCAAACCTTTGCAATGTGCAGGGTTTGGACAACCAAGACCTGCTGAGTTAATCATTTATGCACAGGCTACTCACTGTCCCTCGGCCTAGGCTCTCTTAACAGAGAGCCTAGTTTGTATAATATGATTATCTCCTATTTTAATATTCTACTATTTATACCTTTTGACAAACTTGTGCATAATTACTCAGCATAGAAATTAACTCATAATTAAGTAGATCTAGTTCTTAGCCCATTTTTCATTGATACTACTTACCAAGGAGGCTGTGATTCAATTTTCCAATACATTTGATCATCATCATTTGACTTACTTACATAAGGGAGAGGAATCATTCCAGCAGTACCGATGTTAGACTGTATCTGCAGTATTGTAGTAGATGTAACCTGAAAAATAAGAATCAAGAGATAATGGCCCGTTACCTCTGTCATTAACAATTAATTGGTCCAGTTCATCATTATATGATATGACCAGAATGTCTCCCAGAGCAATGCCACTCAAGTTTGCAGGCTTCCGTTCAACCTTTTCAGCTTCTAAGAGCAAGGTTGGTCTTAGAAAACTGACTTCACCTTTTTGGGCATCTAGTATAATTAAGCTAAGAGACTACAGTCTTTTGCTCCGAGCCTCTCTCAAAGCACCAGTGTAATACTAGATTTTTCTCATTACCTAATTCATTTATTTATTCCTGTGCCTTGGCTATTTCTCCTATTTTTCACTTGTCATAATTTTTTACCCAAACATTTTCACCTTTGGAAGAGTTGTTAGGCTTATCCACTGTGCTGGTCTAGATTGCCAGCAGTAATACCAGTCTAGCTCATGCCTCCTTTCAGCTCATTCCATTTTATTTAGAGTAAGAATATATAGGTATGGAACTAGTGGGCTATCTTGACCACCAAGAAATACAGCTCCATTCACTGTCAATCCGAATTTTGCCAGATGGGGTGAAGATACAGTCCACCCCATTAGGCCCATAGCAATTCTGACATAAAGGTTGAAAGGTAGGTTTCTTGCTT